GATACCCCAGTCCGATGCCATGGAACGCTCTAAAGGTGGTAACCAAAACCTTGAAGCGCACCCGGAAGACCCCCGGGAGCCAGTGCAGCTCGCGCAGGAGGGGGATCACATGGGAGCGTCACGTCGCTCCCATAACCACCCGCGCAGCCGCATTCTGGACCAGCTGGAGCCTCCGGGTGCTCCTCAAGGGGAGCCCCATGTAGAGAGCATTGCAGTAGTCCAAGCGGGAAGTAACAAGAGCATGAGTGACCGTATTTAACGAGTCCTGATCCAGAAAGGGACGCAACTGGCGAATCAGGCGGACCTGAGAAAAAGTCCCCCTGGCCACGGCCGTCATGTGCTCTTCTAAAGACAGCCGTGAGTCCAGGAGGACACCCAAGTTGCGAACCCTCTCCGTGGGGGCCAGTGACTCGCCCCCAATAGTCAGTGATGGCACCAACTGACTATATCGGGATGTCGGAAACCACAGCCACTCGGTCTTGGATGGGTTGAGCCTGAGTCTGTTTCTCCCCATCCAGATCCGCACGGCCTTCAGGCACCGGGACATCACTTCAAGGGCATCATTGGGGTGGTCCGGGGTGGAGATGTACAGCTGAGTATCATCAGTTGTTGTTGACGTACCTGCCTCCCAGCTGCGTGACAATAGCCTTGCCTGTGCTGCTAGAGGCAGTAGCTGGGTTGGCGGTGGAGTTCCTCAGGCTTATGATACTGGGGGACTTCAATCTACCGTCACTTGGCGAATCCTCAGATGGGGCCCAGGAGTTCATGGCTTCCATGACAACCATGGACCTGACCCAAGTAGTTCAGGGTCTGACCCATGAGGGGGGGGACACACGCTCGACCTGGTATTTCTCTCGGGGCAGTGGAGATATGATCTGGAATTAAGGGGTATAGAGATATCGCCCTTGTCATGGTCAGATCATTTCCTGTTGAGACTGGACTTTAAGATGCCACTCCTCCATCGCAGGGAGGCGGAGCCGATTAAGTGGTTCCACCCCAGACGCCTAATGGACCCTGAAGGGTTCCAGAAGGAGCTTGGGGAGATAACCTGACTCCCTTGTCCACAGTCCGGCCAAGACCCTAGTGGCTGCCTGGCAGAAGGCGGCATCTGGGGCATTGGATCAGATTGTGCCTTTGCGGTCTCTCAATGGCAATGGATCCAGGAAAGCTCCCTGGTTTACTGAGGAGTTCCGGGAGATGAAGCGCCAGAAGAGACGTCTAGCGCGATGCTGGAGGACCAGTAAATCCGAATCTGACCGAACACTTTTAAGAGCCTTTGTTAGGACTTACTTAGTGGCGATACGGGCGGCAAAGTGTTCATATTTTTCCGCCCTTATTGCATCCGCTGATTCTCGCCCAGCTGCCCTATTTAGGGTAACTCACTCCCTCCTTAATATTGGGGGAGCGGAGGAGCCCTTGCAGGGTAGAGCTGAGGAATTTGCACAGTTACTGTCGGATAAAATTGCCCAGATTCGGATGGACCTGGACTCTGATTGGGCAATACCGACCGAGATGACAGGGGCGGGTCTTAGTCCTATTGTGTGGGAGGAGTTTGAGCCAGTGACTCTTGAGGAAGTGGACAAGACTGTAGGGGCGATGAGTTCCTCCACCTGTTTATTGGACCCGTGCCCCTCCTGGCTGGTTTCGGCCAGCAGGGAGATGACACAAGGCTGGTTCCAGGCTTTAGTTAACGCGTCCTTGAGGGAGCGGTCTTCCCGCAGCCCTTAAAGGAAGCGGTTGTAAGGCCCCTCCTCAAGAAGCCTTCCCTGGATCAGCAGAATTAAAGAACTTTCGTCCAATCTCCAACCTACCCTTTGTGGGAAAGGTTGTAGAGAAAGTGGTGACACTTCAGCTCCTGCGGTCATTGGATGAAACAGATTATCTGGATCCTTTTCAGTCGGGCTTCAGGCCTGGCTACAGCACGGAAACTGCTTTGGTCACACTGATGGATGATCTCTGGCGAGCCCGAGATGGGGGTCATTCCTCCATCTTGGTGTTACTTGACCTCTCAGCGGCTTTCGATTCCATTGACCATGATATCCTTCTGGGACGACTAAGGGAGTTGGGAGTGGGAGGCACCGTGTTACAGTGGTTCTCCTCCTATCTCTCTGGTCGGTCACAGTCGGTGTTGGTGGGAGGACAGAGGTCAACGCCTAGGCCCCTCATTTGCGGGGTGCCTTAGGGCTCGGTCCTCTCTCCCCTCCTATTTAACATCTACATGAAGCTGCTGGGTGAGATCATCCAACAATACGGGGTGAGGTATCAGCAATACGCTGATGATAGCCAGCTGTATATCTCTACCCCACGTCAATTCAGTGATGCAGTGGATGTGATGTGCCAGTGCCTGGAGGCTGTGAGGGTCTGGATGAGAGTCAACAGGCTCAGACTTAACCCAGACAAGACCGAGTGGCTGTGGGTATTGCCTCCTAAAGACTATGTTGCTTGTCCATTCTTGGTTCTGGGGGGGGGGAAATTGTCCCCCTCAGAACGGGCTCGCAATTTGGGTGTCCTCCTAGACTCACAGCTAAGATTAGAGCAACATCTGACAGTTGTGGCTAGGGGGACCTTTGCACAGGTTCGGCTGGTGCACCAATTGCGACCCTACTTGGATCAGGAGGCGCTCCTCACAGTCACTCATGCCCTTGTCACCTCATGGTTAGATTATTGCAACGCGCTCTACATGGGGCTACCCTTGAAAAGTGTTCGGAGACTGCAGCTGGTCCAGAACGCAGCCGCACAAGCTGTTGTGGGTGCACCTAGATACACCCACATTACACCAATTCTCTGCGAGCTGCACTGGCTCCCTATTGGTCTCCGGGCACAATTCAAGGTGTTGGTTATTACCTTTAAAGCCCTACATGGCTCAGGGCCAGGTTATCTTTGAGACCGCCTTCTACCACATAGCTCCCAGCGGACCGGTAAGATCCCACAGAGTTGGTCTCCTCTGGGTCCCGTCAGCTAAATAATGCCGGCTGGCGGGCCCACGGGGGAGGGCTTTCTCTGTGGCTGCCCCAGCTCTCTGGAACCAGTTACCTCCTGAGGTCCGGACCATCCCCACCCTACTGGCTTCCGAAAAGCTGTGAAGACCTGGCTTTTCCGGCAGGCCTGGGGCCGTTGATCTCACTTTGCAATCTGGCGAGATCCGGCCATGAATGGTGTGAATGCGTTCTAAGGTTTTTAGAATGGTTTTTTTTTTTAAATGTATTGTGAGCCGCCCTGAGTCTCCGGAGAGGGGCGGCATATAAATTTAATCAATCAATCAATCAATCAATACATTTTCCTGAGTTTTCTGCACAGCTCAATGCTTCCCTAAAAAGTACCAACTCAAAAGTTACAATGCTGAGCTTTGTGGCTTTAATTATTATTAGTAGCACTCTCTGACCAGCTCTGCTGATGCTTAAACTGACCAGAGCTTAATCAGTTTCAGCCTGAAGACTTTTGCTGGTGTAGTACAGGTAGTCCTCGACTTACAACAGTCCATTTAGTGACCATTCAAAGTTACAAAGGCACTGAAAAAAGTGACTTATGACTGTTTTTCACACAACTGTTGCAGCATCGCCATAGTCACATGATCAAAAATTAGATGCTTAGCAACTGGTTCAAATTTATGACAGTTGCATTGTCCCAGGATCATGTGATCAGCTTGTGTGACCTGACAAGCAGTCAATGGGAACTTGTGTTACTAATTTAAGAACTGCAATGATTCACTTAACAATTGTGGCAAGAAAGGTTGTAAAATGGGGAAAATCTCTTTTAACAAATGTTTCACTTAGCAACAGAAATTTTGGGCTCAACTGTCGTAACTCAAGGACTACCTGTAGTTAAGGTGTTGGTCTAGAAACCAGGAGACTGGAAGTTCTAGTCCTTCCTTAGGCATGAAAGCCAGATGGGTGACCTTGGCCAGTCATTCTCTATTAGTCCAACCTATCTCACAAGGTTGCTGTTGTGGAGAAAATGGAGGAGGAAGGAGTATTATTTATTTAGCTATTAATCAAATTCATATGGCTACCCATTTCACAAATTGTGACTTTGGGCAGCATACAGCAATCCTATATAATAATTGTTTTAAAAAGCATTAAAATCTAAAAAGCAAAGCTAAAACAGAAAAAGAAAATAATAAATGGAATAGTATTAATAATAGTTTATTTCACAATTCTACAAGATTCCACTATGTGGGTGCTACACCGGAAAGGCCCACTGCCTAGGACTAACCAAAATTAGCATTATGTATGTTCTTCTCCTTGAGTTATTTTTAAAAATAATAAGAGGCAGAATAAAAAGAATCTGGAAAATAAATTGGTTGTAAATGTATGCATTGATCAGAAAATTGTTTTTTTTAAAAAAAACTTGCCATTGTATTTGCAAGTATTCGCAAAACAATAGCTGCTAAACAAGGAGTTGCTATACAAATAGACCTCGAGTTATGATGATAATTCAGAACAGGATTGTTGTTGCTAGGTGATGCAGTCATAAAGTGCAATCTCACATGACCACGTCACTTAGTATCCCAGGCCCAGGTGTATTTGTAACCTGAGACGCTCAGATCAGTAAGTGGGAAGCAGGAATCCCAAGTAAGGAATTTTATTTCTGCAGCATCAATAAGGCAGATTTTAAATGCTGTTGCTGTTATATTCTGCTTACATGCTATTCTTAGAATCTTACTGGCTAATGTGGGAAACAAGTTTCTGTGTCTTACAATGTTTATCCACTTGCAATGGAGAAGAAAGCTGGAGTAACATGACAATCTAGATCAGTTGTAGCTTTTTTTCCTTTTGCACAAGACATACCTTGCCATGTTGATAATCCTGATACATTTTGCAATGGAAGTAGGATGGGCTAGCTTTACATTTCTTTGATACAATAATCAGTATAGCTACTGATCTGAATATCTGTTTGCTTTTATTTGCTAACAAGCTTATCTTAACAAGCTCTGCTATAACAGCCTGATTTTTGAAAATGACAGTTGTGAATAGAATATTATTTTCATGTGCATTTTTCAGGGGGAGAGGTCTATACCTTTGGACTAGGCCAATATGGGCAACTTGGACTTGGCACATTTATCTTTGAAACTTCTGAACCAAAGATGGTAGATCATCTGGGAAAGCATAAAATCTGTCACATTGCAAGTGGAGAAAACCACACAGCTTTAATAACAGGTACGCATAATGTTAACTCTGGTGCTACATTTGCAGTGTATCTACCGTGTTTTTCAGAGTATAAGACACACTTCCTCGCCCCAAAAGAGGCTGAAAATTTGGGTGCATCTTATACTCCAAATGTAGCTTTTTCGAAGCTTTTTTTTCAGCCCTAATGAGGTGCTAGCGAGTGAAGCGATCTTCCGAGCTTTGCCTGCTCCCTCCAACTCTCAGCTGTGCTTTAGAAGCATTTTTTCAGCTCTAACAAGGCACTAGCGAGTGAAGCAATCTTCCGAGCTTTGCCTGCTTTTCTCATTGCTTCTCTCTCCAAAGATCAGCTGTGCTTTAGAAGCTGTTTTTTATCCCTGAGTAGAGGATAAAAAGTGCGCACACGCACTCAAAACCAGCAAACTAATGTGCTGAAGCTGACCAGACTAAGGACGCTAGCCAGATGAATACCTGGTAGGCAGATTTCCCCTCCCCCCCATTTTCCTTCCCAAAAACTAAGCTGCGTCTTATATTCTGGTGCGTCTTATACTCTGAAAAATATGGTAAGCATTTTATCATATTAAAGGTCAATAGATCTTCATAGTCCTAAATAGATTTCAAAGCAATTCTTTAATTGTTAAGTTAAGCATTTTTTAAAAAAATGGTAACTACCATGTTTTCCCGAAAATAAGCCCTCCCCCGAAAATAAGCCCTCCCCCAAAAATAAGCCCTCTCCAAAAATATTTAAACGCATGCACAGCTGGTCCCCGCCATTTCCTATGGTTAGGGTTAGGGAGACAGAGCTGGAAATCGGGTAAAATGGCAAGATTATTTCTTGCTCCACGCACCCAAAATAATAAGACCTCCCTGAAAATAAGGCCAAGCGCTTATTTCAGGGTTCAAAAAAATATAAGACATCTTATTTTTGGGAAAACACGGTAAATTCACATGTAATTTGTTAACCAATGGGCTTGTATTGGGATGGTGGTCTGGGTGTTATAGTTGTAATCACTGTAATCAGTGTTACAACTGCTTTCTCATATGTTCAGATTTTCCCATGTTTCATTATTCTGAAAACCACAAATTGGCATTAAATATGAATATGGCAAATTGTGATTTCTCTCCAAATCAGAAATGGAGGCTGTACATATGACAATCATATTATTGCTAAAATGTATTAACTTTTATTGAAAATGAAAACAGAGGATGAACAAGGTAAAAGACTGTATGAAAGATGAGCAAAAATCTTGGATATAATATACCAATGGACTAATGGGGAAATACGTGGAAGAAAGGTTGAATTTCATGTTCAATTATACTATTAAAGATGTTTTTTAAAATGATATATCGCTGGTATTTGACAACAGAAAATTTTTCAAAAATATATAATGGAATTTCAAATATTTGTTGGAACTGTAATCAATTTGAAGGTATATTTTTTGTCTTTGATGGACATGCAAGAAAACTAGAAAATATTGGTATCAAACATGTAGCTTGATTCAGAAGATCTTAAAGGTAAATTTACAATTGGAACCAGATATTTTTCTTTGGTGATTAATGGACAAACAAATTGAAAAATCTCATGAGACTTCATTTTTATATATGATAACAGTGGTGATATTCCTATATGCACAAAGGTGGAAGGACTTACAAATACTTACATTAGAAGAATGTTAAAAGGAATGGAATTGGTGAAGATTGCAAAACTGATAATTTTGATTATACAACAGACTTTTTGTTTTATTTCTACTTGCAAGCCACCTTTGGACTTTTTGCAAGAAACTAAGAGAAATTAAATGTTGATTCTGGGATTTGATGACTAGAGTTCTATGGGATTATAGAAGTAATGTATACTGTTGTTAATTATAGAGCAAGAGTTAGATATATTTTAATCTATCTGTACCCAAGAAAGTCAGAAGCCATTCTTTTTCATTTTTCCTTCTTTTCTTTGCACTTTTATCTTACTTTTTGTCTGATTCTTTTATACTTCCTTTTTTTGCATGTTTACTTTTTATTTATGTTTTTGAAATTTAATAAAATCATATTTTTTTTAAAAAAATGGAGGCAACAATTTATAACAGGCTTACTTGTGCATATGTGCAGTCTTGTTATTGAGTCTTTAAATTTTCAGTGGTCCTGGTTCTATACTCCTAATGAAAAGCCTATTCTACATGTTGAAATTCTCAAGTATGAAATTGCTGCTAGAATAACAGTTTTGTCTGCTGGCTGAGATATTAACATGTTTCTTTGTACTTAGAGAACGGTCTTATGTATACTTTTGGCGATGGACGGCATGGCAAATTAGGACTTGGGAAAGAAAATTACACTAATCAGTTTGTACCTACATTATGTTCCAATTTTTTGAGGTTTACTGTCCATTTGGTAAGTCTTCAGTTTCCTATTTATGCTTTGAAATAAGTATCATCTGGCATTTAAAACATCTGACGTCAGGGTTCCAAATAACACCCCCAATGAAAGAAAACTCCGAAGCTTGAGTTTCCTCAAAGTTCCCTTTTATTAGAGATGTCATATTGGCACATCTGGGAAAACTCGAATCTGAGAGCTTCTAGGTTTTCCCCACCCAAAGGAAAGTTCAAGTCCCTGCCCAACACCCACATGTCCATCACATGGTCCAATCCAAGCACCGTCCCAACTGGAGATGCCTCCCAGTTCCAGCCATCCAGATGCAGGGCACGATGTCCTTGACTTCTGAGAAAGGAATGTTATTATGACTATATATCACCCTGGCTCCATACAATCCCCCCTCCCAGTTTCCCACAGTAGTAAATGTGGCAGGCCTGAAGATCCAATGAAAAAGATGGCTTCTAGGCCTGACAGACTGCCCCACCCCCCCAGGATCAGAAAAGCATGTCCTGAAATGAGAGTAGCATAGTGGTTAATTCAGCATACTCTCCCTCCCCCAGGGGGACCCTTTGGCTTATCAGGGAATTTATCATAAAATTGTTTTACTAGCCTGTCTGCTTTGACATTCCAGCTTTTAACCCAAGTAGCTTCAGACAAAGAGTACCCTTTCTAATGCACTAAATATTGCAATCTACCTCTATACAACCTAGAATCTAAGATCTTTTTAACTTTGTAATGGGTTTCCCCTTGCACTACAATAGGCTTGGGAGATGCTTGAGCCTGTGGTCTTAACCTGGAACTTATGGCTGTCTTCAGCAAACTACAGTGGAAAACAGGATGTACTTTCCCTAGAATGCGAGGAGGTTAAACTGAACTGTCACTGGGTTAATTACTTATTGGGAATGGACCTAAAAATTTAGGTCCTAGTTTCTTGTTAGGCAGCCTCAGTCTTAAGTATTTTGTTGACAGATAAACCCGATCTCTGACACAGGAAGGGGGTTGAAGAGATCGGTGTTTATCTGCTTGCTTTTTGTATGCTTCAGCAGCTTCCAGTAGTGCCTTTTTGGTATTCTCCCAGCCTTTCCTCAGCGACTCTATCCACTCAGTCAGGGTCATAGAGGAGGGGGGCTCTCTGGGCAGTTCAGGCATAGGTACAAAGTCCATGCCGCTGATGACCTGGAAGTGGGTTAATCCGGTGCTATTGTGCACCGCGTTGTTGTAAACTACTTCTGCAAAAGGCAGCAGGTCTGCCCAGTTTTCCTGCTGGTAATCCACATAGCATCTGATATATTGTTCCACCATTGCGTTCAATTGTTCTGCTGCTCCGTTTGTACTTGGATGGAAAGCCGAGCAAAGTCCTTGTGTGGATCCGACCGATCTCAGTAAGTCTCTCCAAAATTTTGCTGTATATTGGACCCCTCAATCCGAGATGACTCGACGCGGTATTCGGTGTAGTCAGTAGATCTGTTTGATGAACATCTTTGCCAGTTTTTTCGCGGATGGTAATCTCGAACAAACTGAAGTGGGCTTATTTTGAAAACATGTTGATTACTATCCAAATGACTGTATTTTCCCCATCTCTGTGGAAGCTCAACTATAAAGTCCATCATAATTTCCTCCCAAGGTCTGCTGGGGCTTGCCACTTGCTGGAGGACACCAGGAGGCTTCCCTAGTCTCATTTTCTTTTTCTTTTTTTTAATAAAGTTTTTCTTTTTAAAAAAATATAAACATTCCATCTTCTCTTAAACAGTGTGTTGTCTGGGTACAAATATCTCTGTGCAATAACCATCAAAATTTACGACATCATTCATTACATTGATATTAATTCTCTGATCTTACAGTTGTAGTATTGAACATAGTAAACCTGTTCATTTTATTTCATTTCTCTTAACATATCTTCTAATAAGAATATAATAATAATATTAAGCATAATAATCATAGTCACAATAATAACAATCATCGCATTGTTTACATCTCTATCTTAACATATTTTCTACTCTTCTCTAATCTTCTTTTTTTACTTCCAACTTCCATTTTTATTCTCTAACCATCAATAAAATAATTCCCATATCATATAATATTCAGTTTGTTCTTTCTCTTTAATTGCAAGCGTTAATCTGTTCATTTCTGCACATTCTAATATTTTCCTAATCACATTCTCATCAGTAGGGATCTCTTCACTTTTCCAATTTTGTGCAAATACAATTCTAGCTGCAGTTAATACATGGATAATTAAATATGTGTTCTCTTTACTATAAGTTTCAGGTAAAATCTCCAACAAAAATATTTCTGGTTTTAAATCAATGTGCTGTTTTATCATCTTTTCCAGCCATGTATGTATTTTTGTCCAGTATTTTTTTTGCTTTTACACATGTCCATCACATATGATAATAAGACCCAGGTATCTGGCACTTTCAACATTTAGCTGACTTATCTTTAAACATCTTTGCCAACCTTGCCGGTGCAAAGTGCCATCTATAAAACATCTTATACAGATTTTCTTTATATGCAGTTGACATCGTTAATTTGTACTTCCTATCCCACAGTTTCTGCCATTTATCTAATTCTATTGTATGACCAAAATTTTTTGCCCATGCTATCATTGTCTCCTTCACTTGTTCATCTTCCAGTTTTATGTCCACTAAGTAACATTACAATTTCTTTATCAATCTTTCTTCTGTTCTTGTTAATATGTTATCTAATTCTGTTAATTCTTTATAGAAACCATATAATTTAGCATCTTCCTCATATCTAGAATGTATCTGCACCATACCATATCGATCTTTTGATCACTCAGTTCTTGTTTAGTTTTGAATTCCCCCTTTTTATTCAAAATATCTTTATATCTAACAATATTCCCCATGTTAATAACATTTGGGTGAATCAGTGCTTCCATTGTTGAGAGCCAAACTGGTATCCTCAAATAACGTTGCTCTTTAATTTTCTCCCATACTAACATTAATGCATTTATTACATAATGTCTTTGAAAGTAACCAAGTATCTTGTTTTTCCCATACCACAAGAAAGCATGCCAGCCCAGTTGCAAGTCATGTCCTTCCAAAGTCAATAATCTTATATGCCTCAATACAATTCATTCTTTCATCCATGTTAATATTGCAGCCTAGTAATACAATTCCCAATTAGGTAATCTAAAACCTCCTCTACTTCGTGAATCCTGAAACATTTTAAAGCTAATTCTTGCTTTTTTCCCTTGCCAGATATATTTTAATATTGTTTTCTTAAGTTCCTCAAAGTATTTCTTTTGCACAATTTTAAGTGCAATAATCTCGGCAATATATTCATTTTGATTGTAGCTATTCTTCCTATCAATGATAGTTGCAGATAGTTCCATTTTTCCAGATCTGTTTTAATTTGTTGCAACAGTTTATAATAATTATCTTCCTTAATCGTTATATATCTTGCTGTCAGCTGTATCCCTAAGTATTTTACTTTCTTAGTAATCTGAATATCTATTCTCTTTATTAACTCTTTTTTCTGTTTATCTGTAAGATTTTTTTACTAAAATCTTAGTTTTCTCTTTATTTATTTTCAGACCTGCCACTTCATCATATTCTTTTTTTAAAAAATTAGTTTAGGCCCTGTTTCTTGTGGATCTTCTAAGATAAATCGTCTGCAAACACCTGTAGTTTATACTTTTCCTTTTTTATTTCCATGCCTTTTATCTTTGTGTCTTGTCTAATATTTCTATTTAATACTTCCAATGTCAATACAAATAATTGAGGAGACAAGGGGGATCCTTGTCTTGTACCTTTTTTAATGCTAGCCTTCTCAATCATATCTCCATTTACCATCACCTTTGCAGTTTGTTTATAATATATCGCCTTAATCATATTAATAAATCTTCCCCCAAAGTCCATATCTTTTAGTTGTGCTATCATGAATTGCTAGTTCACATTATCAAACTCTTTCTGTGCATCTAGGAAGATCAACGCCATTTGCTTCTCTGGATGTGCCTCATAGTATTCCAATGTATTTAAAATTATTCTCATATTGTCTTTAATTTGTAAAAAACCATTTTGATCTGGATGTATAAATTGATTTAAAAATCTTTTTAGCCTTTCTGCAATTATTGAAGCAAATATTTTATACTCAGCATTCAGTAACAATATTGATCTATAGTTTTTTATCTGTTGTAGATCGGTGTCTTCTTTCGATATGAGAGTAATATATTCTTCCATGAATTTGGCACCTTCGCTTCTAACAAAAGTTCATTTTAAATTCCAACTTTGGGGTATTTAAAGTACCTTGTAAGTCTTTATATAATTCTGCTGGCAATCCATCCGGACCTTGTGTTTTACCATTCTTTTGTCTTTTGATTGCTTCTGTTAATTCCATCATAGATATACATTCATCTAGCATTGCTTTCACTGTTTCAGGTATTTTAGGTAGTTCCGCTTTTTCTAAATATTATTTTATTTTATCTTCTGGGATTAACTCTTGATCATACAGTTTTCCATAGTTTTGATTCACTTTCTTTTTATCGTCATTTTGATGATGAAAAGTTCCTTCATCATTCATTAGTTGGTGTATCAATTTATTTTCTTTCTCCTTTTTCAATTTATATGCCAGCCATCTTCCTCGTTTATTTGCGTTTTCAAATAAGTTTTGTTTCGCACTTTTAATTTTTTGTGCTAGTTCGTCTTTATCTATTAGATTCAGTTTATGTTTCGTTAATTCCATTTGGTTTTTTATATTCTTTTTTTGTGGATCTTTTTGTAGTTCTGTCTCTAGTCTCTTGTATTCTTCTTCTAGTATCCTTTGATTTTGTCTTCTTTCTTTGATCTTCTTTTTGTTTTTCTTTCCCATCTATGTTATAGTTAATCCTCTAATATATGCTTTAGCTGTGTCCCATACATTTTGTAATGACGTTTCTTCTTTTCTGTTCTCTTAAAAAAAAAGTCCAATTCTGTTTCCATAAATTGAACAAATTCCTTTTCTTTTAGTATTGATTGATTCAACTTAATTTCTTTTTTTGTCCCTTCCATATAACTTTTATC